CTGTGTCTTTGAATGTTAGCCAGTGCCCTCCTTTCGGAACCCGCAGAGTAGGTAGAGAACTCCTGCAGCAACTCTTGTCCGAGGTCCTACTCTACTGGCACGGAACCTCACCTACTAATTTAATTTCACCTGTTTTATTTACCACTAAACCCCAAAGATACTTTTGCCACATAAAGCCCAGGAGAGATCAGTAGACTATAGCCTATCATTCTGATCTATACCATTATTTCTCAGGTACGGAGGGATATTTATAAGGAGCACTTTTCAGGGGGTATCCCACTGGTATGAAGAGAAACCGTAGAAGAGAAAGTTACTCATCTTAGTTTTCTCTGTTGGATTTCTGACTCTTCCTTTGAAGCATCAGTACCAAAACCTGCTTGACTATATGAAGTGATACAGTAGTAACGCTTATAAACTTTATGGTTCATTCAAAACACATTTCTTAATTTCCAGTGCTATAGGCTAGACACTGGGTGAAAAGCTGAGGCTAAAGTGAAAACATGATTAGTGACTGACCTTCCAGAGTGGGAGAGTTCTTGTAATATTTTCATTTAAGTTCTTAGGACAGTCATTCATGTTCTTATGACATTCTCATATACTTATTTTTAAATTTCCATGAAATAAATTATGTACAGAATTTTTAGTACTATGCGAGGTTATCTTAAGAAACATGTGTGATTATATATTATCATTTTGGTGTGTAATTCTCCACTAGGTCACTGGGCATCACAATCTTTGATGCCAGCCCCTGCTTATAAAATGAGATAATTGCATATTACATAGACTTCCAGAAAATCCACTTTAAAATTTTATCTTATGTAAATGGCAGACAGTTCTTACGCAATGGGTGTCATTATTTAATCTAGTTAAAATTACTTTTTAACTGTGGAGCTTTGACTTAAATTAGTTTATCTTGAGGCTTCAGCATCCCACTTAAACCATTAGTGTTCTTCTTCTCTAGGGACTCCCATTTATACCTTCCCATTCGGAGTGTAATCCTATCAGAAATGGTAATGATATTTTACACTTGGTAACATCTTCCATCTAAAGAAGTCTTGAGCACTTTTAAACATGACCTTGTTACTGTTTGTAACATCTCTGAGAGGTAGCCCCAAGCTGGGAAGGATTCCTTCAGTTTACAAATGGAAAGATCAGGTGAAGGAGAAAGGCTGAGTTTTCCAAAAGCAATTTTAAGAGGGCACTCTGTATGATGTAATGAACATTTTAAAATGATGAAAAAACAGCCCTCGCCGGTTGCTCAGTGGTTAGAGCATTGGCCTGCGGTCCCGAGAGACCTGGGTTCAGTTCCCACTAAGGGTGCATACCTCAGTTGCAGTTTGTCCCCGGCCCTGGTTGGTCATGTGGGTGGCAGCTGCTTGATGTGTCCCTTTCACGTCAGTGTTTCTCTCTCTCTCTCAGTCTGTTCCTCTGTCTCTCTCCCACTCTACCTGAACAAAGGGTGGATAAATGTCCTCGGGTGAGGATAAAAAATAAATAAAATAAAATAAAATGATGGAAAAACAGAAGAGTAAACTAAATACCAAATATATTCCAAAGGAATGTAAGAAGTTTGTTGAAAAGCTTAAACCAGGTTTTGTATTTTTTTTTTTTAATAGTAGAATGTGAAATGGGGGATTTAAGAGAGTGAAGAGAGAAAAGAGAAAAACCCATTAGGATTTTTATTTCTAGCAATGTATATTGGTTGTTTTTGTTCTTATCTCTTAACCACATGCTCAGTATTTCCTAAACACTTAACAGTCACTTATAGAAATGCATGCAATTATATAAATAATGTTGATTTTATTGAATTTTAAAATAAAATATGCTATTCCATTAATTGAGAAACTACTTGAAAGTTGCTTAACTGAAATTATTGTGAAAAACTCATGCTTGCAATAACATATACTCTGATAGGAAAGTTCAGATCTGTGCTCAGAAAGTAAGATTATATATATTTCATGTGGGCTAGATAAGGTATTATAAGAGCTCTGAAAAGAAAACTATCACTTGAGGAGGAAATGACCAACAATGGAGAAAGAGGCTAATAGATAATCCATGAAAATGTATGCAAATAAATCCACAAATATTGTGGCATTTATTTCACAAACATTATGGAAAGTGATAAAGAGGATACAAATGTGAGTAATACATTGTTTCTCTAGTCAGAATGCTTGTGGTCTAATGGAAGAAATAATTACATAAAAACTATAGTACTACTGATAGTCTCATAAGTACTACAGAATGGAAATATCAAAGAAGAAATTTAATTCAATTACAGAACCTAAATAGATGTTACATTAGAGAACAGTAGAAAACCAAACAGCAAGTTTGATTAAAGAAAGATGTGCCTTTAAATGTCAGTTTAAAAGAAGACACAAGTGCCCTGGCCAGTTTGGCTCAGTGATTGGAGGGTCGGCCTGTGGACTGGAGAGACCCGGGTTCGGTTCCCACTAAGGGCATGTACCTCGGTTGCAGTTTGTCCCTGGCCTTGGTTGGGGTTGTGTGGGTGGCAGCCACTCGATGTGTCTCTCTCACATCAATGCTTCTCTCTCTCTTCCTCCCTTTCTCCCTCCTGCTCTATCTAAAGATAAATGCAAAAAATGTCCTCGGGTCAGGATAAAAAATAATAATAAAAGAAAAGAAGATACAAGTATTATCAGAACAATTTTTAGAGAACACTATGGCTGTTGCATTTAGTGTACCTTAGACCCTGAAAAGAACAAGCAGGTAATTGGATTAGCAGGTGAATATCACAGTCTAGATGTCGGGCAATTCCCACCGAACCCAGGTGCTGATGCGGTGATGGGAAGACAGGGGATGGGGCAAGGTGCTGAAGAAAACTTGACAGAAACTCACAAAATCGTGACTGCAGTACACAGTCAGTAACTGAGTTCTGAGCCAAGGTGATTGTGAAAGTACTGATGCCATTATTTTAAAATAAAATATTAAAAACACAAGAAATGTTGTCTTACAAAATTCAGTGATATGGTATTCGAAGTAAGTCTTAAGCATATTGAGGTGCTGCTGAAATATGCAGTGATCTGCATTGATACCCTGGGGGTCAGACAAGAGTTAGGTTAAGAAAGAAGAATGGCTATGAAGTAATTTGAGTCATTTTATCTGAAACCTAACTTAATTCTCAAAGCCTGTTAAGCAAATACTGCTTAAACTCAACACCATAGACCTGGTGAGTAGAGACCAGAGGGGTGACCGTCTTCTGTCATCGCGTCACACCCTGTGCTGTCATGGAGGAAGGAACGAAACATTTGAGAATCATTTGTATGGAGGGACACCTAACACGTTGAGAATGGTGGTGGTATCTGAAAATAACTAAACAAAAGGTATAGAACAAAGTTTAGTAAGTTAGAGGACTAGAGAAGGTAAACAAGCTGAAGATGTATATAGAGAAGGAAAGTCAAAGTTGAAAGCAGTTAATGGAAAATCTTGGAAAGAATCTAATATCACAAAGACTAGGGGGAAAATCCTTACAGAAAATGAAGCACACTTTTGCTTGTGGAATTTTGTAGAACAGCATTTCTCATCTGTTCTGTGGACCGTCATCCAGTCATCCACAGACTATCTTTGCTGGGGGTGGGGTGGAATATTCCATCTGTTGTCAAGCACACCTGTAAGACACGGAGTAACAGGCTGTCGCTGCTGCCTTCCCCGCATCTTCCAGAAACTCAACATACATTTGCACACTAAAGGCTCAGGGAATCAGCCCTGGCAGATTTGGTTCACCGGTTAGAGCATCAGCCCGCAGACCGGAGAGGCCTGGGTTAGGTTCCCGCTAAGGGCATGTACCTCGCTTGCAGTTTGTCCCCAGCCCTGGCTGGGGTCATGTGGGTGGCAACCACTCATTGTGTCTCTCTCACATCAATGTTTCTCTGTCTCTTCCCCTCTCTCTCTTCCTCAAGATAAATGCAAAAAAAGAAAATGTCCTCAGGTGAGGATAAAATTAAATAAATAAATAAATAAATAAATAATAAATAAATGTACAGGGAATTAATTAAAGGAAGGTATTAACTTTACAGTTGCTTAGGCATCATCTTCTTTAATTTTTAACCTAGAACAATTCATATTTATACATAATTTTAACAAAATAAGAATACTTGCCCAGCCAGTGTGGCTCAGTAGTTGAGCATTGACCCAGGCACCAACAGGTTCGATTCCTGGTCAGGACACATGCCCAGGTTGTGGGCCTGACCCCCCAGTGGGGGACATGCAGGAGGCAGCCAATCGATGTTCTCTCTCATTGATGTTTCTATCTCTCCCTCCCCCTTCTTCTTTCTCTAAAAAATTCAATAAAGAAAAAAAAATAGTTAAATAAAATAAGCATACTTAGCTATAGGATGATGAATCCGAAAGAGGACCACTCAAATTAGTAGGATCTCAGGAATGTTAAAGGGAATGATGAGGAGATAAAAGAAAAATTTAAATCTGGGCATAGAAATTGAGGAGAGAAAATGAAGAAAAGTCATGAAATCGACGGAAAATCCTGGCTTTGTAGAATTAGAATAACAGGGTAAGGCAGAGTAACCCTCGAGCCAGGTCGGGCACAGGGCCGAACTACCGGGGACGATGGGGGCACCAGGCCGCGGATCATTTCTTCTTGCAAATGACTCCAGTCGGGGTTTTGTTTTCTTGTCTGTTTCATGGTTTCTAGATCCCACTCCTATCTTGTTTTGGTCTTTGACTGGTCTCCTAGATGATATTACACCCAGAATATGCTGCTCAGAACAGCACGTGAGTGTCCTGCCCATGACCCAGTTTTCTCTCCTGGCAGGACGGTCAGCGCTCGTTCCCTTGGAGTTTCAGTCAGTTGATCCAGTTTACGTGAATTTCTGTTATTCTTCTAGTAACCCTACAACCTATACACATGAATAGAACACCTTTTCAAGGTTATTATAGAACTTTACTTTAGAATTTGCATTTATAAGCTTTCTTCCTTCTTGCCCTTTATTCCTGCCTGGCCTTTAAAATTTTCTCAGATACTCACTCGGACTTCTCTCTCTCTCTCTTTTTTTATGGAACATTCCTCGTGCAGGGGCCATGCTAATCTTCTCTGTATCTTTCCAGATTTTTAGTATATGTGCTGCCACACACACAAAGCGAGCACCAGACTTATTCTTTATTAGAGCCCCTGGGTCTGTATGAACGGTAGATTTTACTTCCATGCCTTTCATGAGGACAGAGGTTCATGAAAGCCACTGAAACCATTGTCCAGGTTGAACTGACCTGGGGATCTCTTTGGGTACAGTTAATAGGCTTGTCCAGCTCATTGGGTACAGCTTTGAGTCCTCTTAAATAAATCATCACTATTGTTTTTATTTCTACAATCCGTCTACTTGTATGTCAGCATAAACTTGGTCAAAACCATAGGGAGTCCAGTAAAATCTTTATTCCTGCATTTCTTGATTTTCCATCTATAAAGAAGGTGGTATTAAGTTGATATAATTTGTAAGTAATTTCATTTTCATTTGGGGGTACTCAGGAGCCGTCTCATTCGTTCGAGAATGTTGCTGGTGCCCTAACCTAGTGTTACCAATATGTTTACAAAAGGCATTTTTGTGTCCTCTTCTTTCTCCACAACTTTTCTTTGTATTTTATTATTTTGTGAAATCATTTTATCATAGAGGCTTTGGATTCTTGAGTAATTTCCTCAACTTCTTTGCACCTCAATTTCTGCATCAGTAACATGGGAATCACTGTAGTATGTACCTTATAAAATTGTTGTGAGCATTAAATAAATTTAAATGTTAGAATATACCTCACACAAAGAGCTCAACAAATCTTGATTGTTGTTTGTTTGTTTTGTTTTGTTTTCATTATCCTACTCTTGACTAAGAAGCATGATCCATTTACAACCCTAGTGAGACAGTATTTTTGGAACTATAAATTGTTAAGTAAATACAAACGTTTCTTTCCATTACTAAGCTTGAGAAGTGAAAGGGTTTTGCTGGGAACTTAGTATTTAATTGTTTCTATATAAACAGCTTGTGGGAGACATCTATCCAGTTAAAAATATGCATAAATAAAGGGTTCTGTTTATCCATCCGACATCTGAAAATAACTTTCTGAATTTGAAGTTAAAATGCCCACGATCGGAAAGAAAGAGTATAGTTTTAGGAAAAGTGGACCAATTTATAAAAGAGATAGACATCCAGACTGTTCTCTCTATTGTCAGGGAGAGTGAATTAGGACAGTCTTGCTGGGTAGTGACTCAGAGAGGCAGATGACAGAGAATGGGTGCTAAAAAAAGACCAAACCCTGTCACCATCCCATCCCCTTCTTCCACCAGGCTGTGAGATGCTCCTTTATGATACATTGTTTCGGTTGTTTGCATTGATGTTTATTTTAACCATTTCCGTTTTTTTACATAAAAAGGTTTGTTCAGACACCAGAAGGGAGAAAATATGAAGAATAGTATCTGTGTTCTAGAGGGTGGTCAGCTGCCATTGTGGGCTCACAATTGCCTGCTTCAAAGGTGTTGAACAGGATACTCTTTCTTTGGGGTTAATACCTAAGGTCTTTAGAAGACCTAATGTGTAATAGTTTTCAAAATCTAATTAATAATGCTTCATGGGGCAACACTATTACTGGCTGAAGGATTTTAATGGGAACATAAAAGTTATAATTGCTAAAGAAGGTCAAGTTTGCCCAGGCTTTGGTATTTGATATTATAGCAACTCTAAAATTGATCCAAAAAAATGCCTCATAGTCTCTCCACTTACCAATAAGTAAACATTTCCATGCAACATGCCCTTTTATAGGTATTAATACTTGCAAAGAAAAGTAAAATACTGAGTGAGAGTTTTGATTTAACAAAACTAATAACAATTAGTTGATATCTTTTTAATGGGTAACTATTACTATATATTCAACTAATTTTAAAGGTGTTTGCTTGACCTCGATTTCCTTAAGGCTGTGTTACTTTAACTTTTTCAAGTGTGTGAATACTTTCAAAAAAAATTTTTTTTTTTACTGATATGAGAGAAAGAGAGGAGGAGGGGGAGAAACATCAATGAGAGAGAACATTGATTGGCCGCCTCCTGCATGGCCCCCACTGGGGATCGGGCCCACAACCTGGGCATGTGCCCTGACTGGGAATGGAACCGGCGACCTCTTGGTACATGTGTCGATGCTCAACCACTGAGCTACACGGGCTGGGCTTGAATACTTTTAGTTGTCTAATCACATTTTAGCAATACTTTTTAGCATGATATATATATATATCATAAACAAATGAAGAAGAATGATGGAAAAGAAATGAAAACCCCAGAGTTTCATGTCCTATCCCTGTTCCTATGGATCCCAGCGTGTGCCCCGTGGTGTGTAAGATCACCCACTTTCGGAGAGCCCCTGAGGAGAGGCCCGTATGTGCTAGCATACCTGCTGCGAGCTGTAAGGAATCGGGGGCGCCGCCGAATAAAACAGAGAAGAGACTGGAGAGCCAATCAGCCGAATAAACAGGGATCAGGCTTTATTGGGTGGACTCCGGGCGGGTTCACAGACTCCGGGGGTCGAGTCCTAGAAGCCGCGCTCAATTGGGGCTTGTGTCTTTTATATCTGCCTGTTGCAGCTGGAATTTGTCCCTTAGGGTTTGGCCCTGCGGGGGTTATGCATGGAGCCTCTGGAATATGAATAGTTAAGATGGGAGTTAACCTATAGGCTCGAGGCAGGCCATTCAGGGTGGGAGACAAGGCTGAGCAAGGAGACAATGGTCGAGCACTTTGCCTGGTGCCAGTTCTCCAGGCCATCGGACACGAGCCTCACAGGACCCCGGTTACAGGCGCCTCAGAGGGTTTCACTCACCATGTCCGTGCTTGTATCAATTTATTTCAAACCCAGTGTGGGTCATCCTGTCTCACTTTTAGTCTTTCCCTTCTTTTGTGGCCAGAGAGTGTAATTTAACTAAATTTCCTTCAGAATGCTGCCTTGAACTTACGCAGATTTTAGACATTCCCTTCTGAAATTCACAGTCCGTGGGTCATTTGGCACAGAGTGATTGGCTTATTTCCCGAATTGCTATCTCCCTTTTGTTCAGCATTGCTGACATTTTCATGTTTACTCATGAAAAATATCATGTACATTTACACTGGCACCGGGGAAAGTGGTTGCCGTGCCAACATTAAGTGTCATTTGGGATGTAGGGGGATTTAGAACCATAATAAATTGTCTCATTCTAAGGAAAGTAATGTATCAAAGTAATAAATCTTACCTTTCAAATTCCTTCCCTTAATTGCAATTGCAGGGTGATTTCTTTTTCCTTTCTTTATCATTAACAAGAAAGCTTTGATTATTGTTAATGTTTTGAAAGGTATTTTTTACTTAGTCACTGGTTGTTTAAACTCTTAAGGTCTTAGGTATTTTTTAATGAAAAATTTCTAAGTTGAAAATTCAGAATTTCATAGACTTATTTTTTTAACGTAAGAATAGGAAAACTTGTCTAGCCAGTGTGGCTCAGTGGTTGAGCATTGACCCATGCACCAAGAGGTTGCCAGTTCAATTCCCGGTCAGGACACAAGCACAGGTTGTGGACCCAATCCCCAGTGGGGGGGCATGCAGGAGGTGGCCAGTTAGTATTCTCTCTCATTGATGTTTCTGTCTCTCTCTCCCTCTCATTTACTCTCTCTGTGAAATCAATAAAGGAAAAAAAATAAAATAAAAAGAATAGGAAAACTATAAAAATGGAAACACATCATGCTTTCTACTTATATTATTATAAGTAAAATTTATCACAGTTTTAAAAAATCACTTATTTCATTCTTAACAATTCTTGAACTTCCAGTTAAAGCCCCACCTTACCCACAGAACATTCACAGAGCCATTGACCTTGATGTTATACCCTGACCATTTGCAGCTATCTGCATCTGCTTCTGCAGGTCAGCCCATTATTTTTGCCCAATTTATATTTAATATGGTACTTTCTTTTACATTTAAAAGTTACCTAATTGGCCCTAATTTCAATGACTGCAAGTCATGTCTTTAGCAAAATTTAAAAAACTGAAACTCTCTGTTTCCTTGTTTTGTGTTTAGAATTAATTCTTCTTGATGTTAGCCATTTTTTATAGAATAACAACAGCAGCAGCAGCAACAATACCTAGGAGTTAAGCATTTCCTCTCATTTCCTCTGTGTCAGATTCTGTTTATGATTTATACTTTGAGAGAGAGAGAGAGAGAGAGAGAGAGAGAGAGAGAGAGAGAGAGAGAGAGAGAGAGAGGAGGGAGAGGGAGAGGGGAGAAGGAAGAGGGGGATAGGGGGAGGGAGATGGATTGATTCACAATAAGACCAGAGAAGTGGAGACTTTAATTATACTGATTTTTAACAACAAGGAACTAAAGCACAGAAAGATTATGTAATTGACCCAATGCAACAGAGCTACAGAGTAATAGAGACAGAATTTGAACCCATTTGAAACTATGTAACTTAAAAGACTGTTCCCGCAATATTCTTCCCAATAAAAAGTACCACCCATCAAAATATATGTTGACTAAATTATTTTTAAGTGGATAAATCTGAATTCTGCCAATAATGGTTAGTTGAAACTTGATTAATGTTTGCAATCAAATTTCTGGTGTATTCAGGGACGTTAACACTTGGGCATAGAGGATTAAACAATGTAACAGTATAGTTTATGTAGGCAAATGCACCTGACTCCCCAGGTGACTGGTGAGTCCCTGTGACCTTTATTTGGTGTGGGCATGCCACCACCTAGATAACATTTATTTTAAAAAGCACATTTTTATTATAGTCAGCTTGGTTTTGCTAGAGCTAAAGCTTTGAAACGATAACCATAGAAAACAGGCATATTATTTTTTAAACTGGAATTGTTTAATGGAAGCTACTCTTATGGATGTTTAAAATGTGGTAGGTTCTTCGTCTTATCCAGATATCTAGACACTGTCCTGAAAAGCAATTGTGAAGGCAATGCCTGGGTGGTAGGTTTGTCCCAGGCTTTGGAGTCAAAACTTTTATAAAGTTAATATTTCTATATTCTAAAAGAAAGTTTGTTAATGATGTTGTTGAGAACAATAAGTGATATTTACAGAAAAGAAAACCCAATGAGTTGGTCTTGAGGCATGGACATTGATCCAATCTTGAC